ATTAAGAATATTAATATTAGCATTTGATGAGCTTTTTATATCAGAAGTGACATAATACTTTTTGCCATAGTTGAAGGAGCAGGTTAAGTCGTATGTGGCGTTACATGCCAACTTTATTAATGTATTCTCCAGATACGTGGAAGGTTCAAAGGCTGTTATTGAGAAAGCAGACAGATTGAAGCTGCAACCTGTAGCTTTAAGCTGCGTGCTGAATATTGGTGCTTGTAAACTGAAGATGTCAAATTGGCAGGGAGCAATTGACAGTTGTTTGGAGGTAAGTCTCTTTGACATCAGACTTTTTGAAGGAGTTGGTTTATGATTTATCAACTTGAACAAAAACAATTTTATATACATTAATATGTTTTATTACATAGGACCTAATGAGACTTGATGAAAAAGTTCTTTTATCTCTAAATACTTTGGACCTTCAGTTCTTCCTGTTAATCCATTCATTTAGCTTATAACATTATGTAACTTAATACCAATGAAGATATTTTCCTTTTCAGAGCACAGTATCAGCTCATTTATTCATTTTAACATATTGAGCACCTATTGTGTGCTAGGTATTGGAAGACAAAGCCAGGAATGATTAAGATTATGGGTTGTGGAGCCAGTCAGACTTGGGTGTTTTTGTTAGACTTCCATTACTAACTTTGTGTTGGGTAAGTCCTAATTTTAGAGAGTTTCAACATCTTTATTGTTTATTTATTTGCTTATTTTAAAGTTTATTTATTTTTAGAGAGAGAGAGAGATGGCATGAGAAGGGAAGGGGAGGAGAGAGAGGGAGAGGCTTTCAAGCAGGCTCCGTATTGTCAGCACAGAGCCTGATGCGGGACTCAAACCCACAAACTGTGAGCTCGTGACCTGAGCTGAAGTCAGGAGTCAGACATTTGACAGACTGAGCCACCCAGATGCCCCAACATCTTTATATTAAATGAAAATAATACTTGCCTTATGGAATTGTTACAAAGATTATATAACATGTAAGAACATTTAGCACAGTATTGGGCATATTTTAAGCACCTAACAGAGATAGGGTGTTTTTTTTTTTTTTTAGATATGAGAGAGAGAGAGAGAGAGGGGGAGAGAGGGAGAGAGAGGTAGAGAGAGAGAATGTCAAGCAGACTCTGCGCTGTCAGCACAGAGCCTGAACTGGGCTCCAACTCACAAATCATGAGATCATGACCTGAGCCAAAACCAAGTCAGACATTTAACCAGCCGAGCCACCCAGGCACCCCGAGATTAGGTGTTTCAGTTAAAAGACTCATACTCTCAAGGAACTTTTTATTTGGCTGAAGAGGGAGTCAGTTTCAATTTAGGGTCATCAGGATTTACATAGGGAGAATGGATACTACTGAGACACTCAAAGGTCACCTGTCTTCATGGGGACATCCAGGGATACTGACTGATAAAGCTAGATAGGTGGCAGCATTACCTCCTTAATCGAGCAGTTATGACATTCTTCCTATTGCATAGTTGAAAAATTTTCCAAACTGTGTATTTTAGAAAGACCCATCTCCAGTAATTTTTATGTATTTTGCACATTAAGCAATGTAATTAAATCAGTTATGCCCAGAGTAAGTAGAAATCAAATGAGATCTGGGGTGCCTGGTTAGCTCAGTTGGTAGAGCATGTGACTCTTGATCTTGAGGTTGTAAGTTTGAGTCCCATGCTGGGTGTAGAGATTACTTGAAAAAAAATTTTTTTTTTTTAACGAGATACTAATTTGGTAGGATAGGTAGAATAAGGGCTAATATATTTAGAAGGGAGCATACAACAGGAAAAAATTTATCCAAGGAAAAGTTTGGTCTTCACTCTGGGTTTCTTTTCTTTCTTTCTTTCTTTTTTTTTTTAAATGTTTATTTCTGAGACAGAGAGAGACAGAGCATGAGTGAGGGAGGGTCAGAGAGAGACGGAGACACAGAACCAGAAGCAGGCTCCAGGCTCTGAGCTGTCAGCACAGAGCCCAATGCGGGGCTTGAACTCACAAACCATGAGATCATGACCTGAGCCGAAGTCGGTCTCTCAACCAACTGAGCCACCCAGGCGCCCCTCTTTTTTTTTTTTTTAAGTAGTCTCCACACCCAATGCGGAGCTTGAACTCCTGACCCGGAGATTAAGAGTGGCATGGTCCACTGACTGAGCCAGCCAGGTGCCCCAGCTCTGGATTTCTTTTGGACCTTTGTGAGGCAGATTATATGCCTTTTGCAGTAAAATCTTAGTATTGACCTTTAGAAGATGTGAATAAACAAAATAGGTTATTTCTAAAATGCTTGTTTCAGAGCAAAGACCTATTAAGTGTTAACTACTGCTCCTTAAAAAAACTCATAGATTGCAAGTAAAGAGTGTAACAAATTTTTATTCATGTTTTTCTCTGTTAATTTAGGGTCCAATCAGGAGATAGAAACTATATAGTAATTTGAAAAGAGAAAGTTTAATATGAAAGTACATGTAAGAGGAGATTGGAATAATGAGGGATTGGCTAGTAAAGAGAATTCTGAAGAATATGAGAACAGCAGATCTATATCTATCTGCCATATATAAATATATGGAGCTGGGATGGAGCCTCAAGGAAAAGTCACCTCTTAAGGGCCCTTAGGCTGAGATCCGTACTTCATTGGAGAGGGGATAGCTGTGACTTACTGGTGGCAGAGAAGTTCAATGGGTACCATACTTGTGATTCCCTGTAGTGCTTAGGGAAGTTGCCTGCAGGGAGCTCCTATTGACCAAGTAGTGCTGTTGACCAAGTTCAGTGCAGGAGCCCAAGAGAGAAATGCACTGGAACCTGCAAGAGAAACAGCTTTTCTCATCCGTGTCCCTTTAGTGCCCTCTACTGACAAAATGTAATGTGCCAGCTGGCAGAGGGTATTTACAGGGTCCATCCAACACCATTATCACAGAGCAGTAAAGGGTTGATTTGTAGCTGACTGGCAGTAAATTGAAATCTAGCACATATATTTAATTCTTAATATTTAGATAAAAATATTAATTTTACAATTTTTTTGTAGGCTCTTGAAATAGACCCATCAAATACGAAAGCATTGTACCGTAGAGCTCAAGGATGGCAAGGATTAAAAGAATACGATCAAGCTTTGGTAAAATTTTGTTCTAAATTTTAATTTTTTTAGACAACCACCTTCATAAATCATACATCTAATTTCTTTAAATGTTTTTTTTTTTTCAATTAAAGGCTGATCTTAAGAAAGCTCAGGAGATAGCACCAGAAGATAAAGGTAAGTTTGTACTTTTTATAGTGAAACTTCATTTTGTTCTGTAAGAATTCACCTTCATAAACCATTGTATTTTTTGCCACTTAGAGACCTATTTGTTCAACATATATTACAGAATGTCTGTTATTGGGCTAGGCATTGGCCATACTGCAGTGAACGTCAAGATCCCTGCTCTCAAGGAGCTTACATTCTGGTCTCTCTTCAGAATATTGATTTTCACACATCTGAATACTATTTTTCTATCATATCATTTGAGATCTGGTTCCTATTGCTGTAATTCTAGTTGAAAGCACAGCACTAAAAGATAAAGTATTTATGATGAATTTAATGTTTGGGACCATTCCTTAAGCTGAATGAGGCCATAATATAAGTATTCTAGTTACTGGATATGTTTTAGGAAAGCTATGGAAAGTTAGAGCACAAAAATTTGTTTTTCAAATAATGCCTGCTACAAATAGTGATGGTAGGCCTAGGTATTAAAATATATCTTCAGTTTCTTATTACTAAAGTAAAATAGGAAAGGCACTTCTTTCAAATTGACAATCTTCTAAAATTATGTTTCATGGTTTTTTTGTTTGTGTGATGTTTCCTCAGTAAAATATTCTGTTAATAGAGCTCAGTTACTTTATGGACAAGAAGAGTTTTATCAACGGCGGGGGCGTTAACTGTCATACTAAAACATCAGTTTGTTGGGCATCCTCATTTTTTGGATGTTTTGAGAAATAACTCCTATTTACATATTTATTTTACAGCTATCCAGGCAGAATTGCTGAAAGTCAAACAAAAGATAAAGGCACAGAAAGATAAAGAGAAGGCAGCATATGCAAAAATGTTTGCCTAATAAGGAATTCAGTTTTATTTACATATGCATTGATTGTATAAAGGCAATAAGAAAATTTAAAGGTTTCTGTCTGTTATAGATGATCCCTGATGTGTTTCCTTTGATACTTCAGTTTCTCATTGTTTACAGTTTAGGAATACTGAAAAGGGTTCACTCTTAATAAAACGGTGTTACAAAATACAGTGAAGTTGGTTCTTCTTAATGGCTATTCTGCATTAGTTACAAAGAATAATGGTGTCCAGCCTGTTTCTAATCTCCTAAAGACACATCTGTTGGATAAACAGATTAAAGCTTAAGTTTGTATACTGTTTCCCTTGATTCTTTGATGTATTTCTTTGTGGTTGGTTTTTGCTGGCATTTTTATACTTACATATAATACAGATATACATGTTCAGGGGTTGGCAGACTTTATCCAGAGGGCCAGAGAGTAAATATTTTAGGCTTTGTGGACCATTATCATTTGTCACAACTACTCAGTTCTGTAGTTGTAGCCACAGACAGTATGTAAACCACTGGGCATGGCTGTGTTCCAATAAAACTATTCATAAGAAAAGTGGTGGGCTGGATGCTCATCTCTGGTCTAGAATAATAATACGTTTATACTTGAAGTCTTGAATTTGACAAGTGCAATATACATTAAAGGCCAATAGTGTATTTGCTATTGGTACTGAATCTCTGAAGAATTAAAGAGGTAAGCAGATGCTACCTCATTGATAAGGTTTTATGTAAGAGGTGTATTCATAATTTTTTATGGGACAATTTTAGGTGTAAGTATAAAATTTTTATTTCGTTGATAATTTTATGAACATTCTGGTCAGTAATATGTGGTAAGATAGTTTGACAACCTGTTGACTTCTAAATGTTTAGTTAGCTTGCCATACATTTTAAAGAAACTCTCACAAGTGCCTGCAAATGAAATCAGTTGCAGTTTACATTCCATTGTAAGCAGGTCCTCCACCACCTTCAGGTACCACCCAGTTAATATTCTGACTTGGATCTTTAATATCACATGTTTTACAATGCACACAATTCTGAGCATTTATCTGTAACCGAAATCCATCACCTTGTTCCAAAGGTACAAATTCATAAACTCCTGTAAGGAAAAATAAATAATACTATGAAGTGCGTATTTTGACTTTTAAAATTCAAACGTAGAAATTGAACCCCTGCAAACAGTAGCTACAGAAACCTTAAAGGTTTGTTTTCTGAATGTTTACCCATAGAGAATATTATGAAGATCTTGGTGTGTGCCATTGCTGTTAGTATAAATTATAGATAAAAGGGGCGCCTGGGTGGCTCAGTCAGTTAAGCGGCCGACTTCGGCTCAGGTCATGATCTCACAGCCCGTGAGTTCCAGCCCCGCGTTGGGCTCTGCTGACAGCTCAGCCTGGAGCCTGTTTCGGATTCTGTGTCTCCCTCTCTCTGACCCTCCCCCGTTAATGCTCTGTCTCTGTCTCAAAAATAAATAAACGTTAAAAAAAAAAAATAAAAACAACTAGTTGTTAATATTTAAACAAAAAAATTATAGAGAAAAGTAGAAGGTATAGCAGTATTGGCTGAGTTAGTCTTACTAACAAGGGAACAACATTTAGTAGTTTTTGAGCTCCAATGTTATATGTGCGCTACAACTGAAAAGACAAATTACATCCAGTCCTTCCCCCTTGAAGAGTTTAAAACCAGTGTGATGACAGAAATTATTTAAAAGTAAAGTCAAAAGACAGTTGAGGTGCCTGCCCTCAGAGAGCTTATATTCAAATTCTAGTCCCTCCAGGATGTGCTAATTTTCATATATCTACATACTATTCTACCATATCATTTGAGACCCAATTCCTATTACAATTCTCATTGAAAGTTCACACTAAAGGATACAGTATTCATGATGAATTTAATGTCTGGGGCCATTTCTTTGAGCTGAATGTGGCTATACCCTAGTATTTTAGTATATATACTGTGTATGTGTGTGTAGGAGCAGCCATGACAGAAATGATTTTAAGTCCTGTGAACATGGAAAGAGGTATTCTTTGATGTTCCATAATCCTTATCTTGGTCTGAGGATAGAAAGGGAAAAGTTTTTTTGACAACTGTCATCTGAATTAGGCTTACCAAAAAATCCCTATTATTTCAGCACTGATAGAATAAGAACCATAAAAATGAGCTTTCTAAAGGAAGCTGTATGTAGGGGGTCGTTTACAATTTCCATGCAGTGAAAATGGTAGACTTCCAATGGTAATGGAAGTCTATTACCAACATGGTTAAAACAAATATTTGTGTTTCAGAAATGGATGGAAATCACATTACTGACCTGCAGGGCAAAATCGCTGTTCTGGTCCATCATATATTGACAGATTTTTGTTTACAGGAATACTGTCATCCTTTAAGGTTAAATGTGCTGGCTGGTCATGTTCATGATTAGTACCACTTAGGGCCACAGATGACAAAAGGTCAAAGCTGATCTGTCCATCAGGTTTTGGATACTCAATAGGTGTGCAGTCCTTGGCTGGCTTGAGCTGATCAGAGTCAGAACCTTAAACCATTTTGAGAAAGATGTTTAATAAAAATAAAACACTAATATAAAAGTACTTTATCAAACATTTTTATGAAAACTTGAAAATACCCTACCAAAGAAATAAAACTTTAACCCTCTTATGGTAACAATACACTATTAAAAATACTGAGTTCATTATTTCTCTACTAAGACAAGTTCAAAACGTTAAATTTACTTTCTCTACTACTTAATGGATTACATTCATGAGGTTAAAAAAAATTTTTTTAAAGGTAAGCTCTACCCCCATCATGGGGCTAGAACTCATGACCCCAAGATCAAGAGTCACATGCTCTACCAAATGAGCCAACTAGGTGCCCCCCATTCATGAGCAGCTAATGATTTTAATACTCATACTCAAGTATGTTGGAATTACCTTTATGTTTTAGAGTCCATGGCTCCATTCCTCTAAGTATCCAGTAAAAGATTCCAGTGTAAATCATCCCTCCATATACACCCAGTATTCCATGGCAGGATGGTCTTATATTTCTAACAGAATATAGCTCTTTCCA